AGGGAAGGCCCTCTATGAGGTGTATTGATTCAGTGACTGGGATAATCGGGATGGGAGTGTCAGAGACAGTGCGATTGGCACAAGACAGAGCAGAGTTTAGGGCTGTTGTACATAGGGTCGCTATGAGTCGCAAGCGACTCAAAAGCACATAACAACAATAACAACATATGGAAGGACAGAAATTTCTGAGCTGTTGGAGAAGGTGACGCAGGATTTTGTGAGAGTAGTCCTGATGTCTGAATAGACCTCCAGGTAGCCTGGAATTGTGGGTGAGTGCTCTGGTAGGTGTCTGGCTTGTGGTGAGAGTGGAAAAGTAGGAGGATGAGGTTGATGATTACATAAAGGATACTGCATTAGGAACCCATAAGTGACAGGACTTAAGGAGTTTGGTCAATTGATAGCCTTGGCTTTCAGGTTTGAATAGAACTTCCTGCCCTGCTTGTGCTCCAGTGAGGAAATGCCAGTGTGGTTTTGGAAAAACAGTTGGAACAGGATGTTGCCCATTTTAGGTTGCATCATCTCCCAGTCCTACTCCCTAAACTCCGAATGAATAATGTTACGCTTGAGAGAACCGATAAAACAAAAGGATGACTGCATTCATGCACAAGTACAAGAGACATTGGCAGGAGCAGAGAATCTGGACTGTCAGTTTGCCTGAAATGATTGACACAACACAACAGTCCCCAGCAAGCTTTAACACGTGATTTCTGTCAGTTGTCCTGTTTAATGATAGAATTCAACAGCTGTTCACGTTTTCATCATGTCCTGGAGTTTATTTATTTGTATGCTTTTATTGTGGTTGCTGTTGCCCTCTCATTATTAACTAATATTCAAGTCAGGCTAGAAAAAAAAACAAAACAAAACCCCAAAGTTTTAGGCCAACCCTTTTATTTTTTCCCAGATTGTTAGATTCTGAAGTCAGTAAAAAAGGACGACCCTTTAGAGAGAAAATTGGAATTATTTTCTTCAATGCTGTGGTTTAATTTTCACTTCTTTTAAAAGGATGTGAGTTATTTCTAGATCATCATTCTTTTTTTAAAAATTGTTATTGTTATTATTTATTTTAATGAAAATTTACAGAGATTT